AGTGGAGAGGCTCCATCGTCAGCTCAAGGCTGCTATTACCTGCTACAGCACAACGAACTGGGTAGAGGTGCTGCCCTGGGTTCTCCTGGGCATTCGCAGCGCGTGGAAGGAAGATCTGCAAGCGTCAGCAGCGGAACTCGTCTATGGGGAACCACTACGGTTACCTGGACAATTCTTTTCTTCAACTTCCGACGAGACAGTGGATGCGACTAGTTTGATAAGTAGACTCCGTTCGCACGTGACCAAGCTGACACCACAACCCACGTCTTGGCACACTAGTTCCAATCGCCCGTTTTACGTGCCTAAAGACCTTGACAAAGCAACCCATGTCTTCCTACGTGTGGGTCCAGCGAGTAAACCACTTGAAGCTCCGTACCTGGGGCCATTTAAGGTACTTCACCGCGACCGCAAGACGTACGACGTAGAAGTAAAAGGGAAGGCCCAGAGGGTCACAATAGATCGCTTGAAGCCAGCATTTGTCGCAAGAGAGACACCAATCACGACCACGGACCATCCGGCAAGGCAGAGCTTAATAAGAAAAACAAGAAGTGGACGTACAGTCAGATTTCCTGATTACTTTCGCCCGTAGTCACGGTCTCACCGGGGGAGTGGTGTGGCGAGTAGGCGAGTACCCCTATGCGTTAGGACGAAGCATTAGATCATACGATCTACGTCATATGGCGTGATCTTCTGCACGTGTAAGGGATAGATAAGGAAAGCCCCTCCTACCGCAGGATGGCCGCCCACTTTCTATTGTGCTACCAGCGCGCGCGCAATATGGTGGACGCACATCTTTTGTTCCACGCCGATGCCCACATTCCGAAGTGCCAGGATCGAACCTTTATTATTATTAATTGTTTATGTATATAAATACCGTGTTGCATTATATTAAAATTCATTCTGTGTTCTGTTATCACCTTGGTACAATAAAGAACTGATTACTCCGTTGCCGAACTCTTTAATTATTTAGTAGTAAAACAAGTATTACTCGCTTCGCTTATAGTGATTTATGATAACAACTCATAAATAGTCGGGTGATTAACACGTTCAACAACACTAGAACTGGTGCGGGTTCGATTCCAAACCACTTCGCTTCACGAGTGCAAGTTCGCTCCGAACCACTTCGCTTCGCTAGTGCGAGTTCGATTCCAGCCTAATTCGATCGACTAGTGCGGGTTCGATTCCAGTATATAGCGGAAGTGCGAGACCTACACATCACACATCAATAGAACTAACCAGAATTCTTTTCTGCTGTTAGGACATTTCATACACATACGTTTACCCGTTTATGGTGTTAAAAGTAACAAACATGGATACACCCATGCTCACAAATTATATCGTAAATATAATATTAAGAGGATAATAAAGTGGGTCTTTTTAATTGTGAAAACCTTTAAACACATTTCAGACATACACATTTGCCATAGGTACAGAAAAAAACATACGCCAATAGTTTACAGTGAATGGAGTATAAGATTTAAAAATAAACCTGTCATGTTGTTTGTTCTGTAAATCAATCCACAATTCTTCAATTTGAAACTAAAAAAAAAACAGAAACTGTCTATCAATACACCGTCAGCATAACATTTCCCAGTAAAACTTAATTCCATGATTTATTCAAGAAATTAACAAAAAAAAACATACGTATTTCACAACACAAAATCAAACCAACCAATCACGGTAACAACACACTTATATAATAAACCTATATCTTGAATACATCTTCAAAACATTTTTTGTTGTACCAAAAATATATTCATCAGTTCACACAAAATCGAAGTAGATGTCTACCAGATAATCTGCTACATCTCAGCATCATTCAGAGCGATCTGCAGACAGAAATAAACGACATACAGAGAGTGAGTTATGTTTATTTAGTGTAATCACTCGCCTTGTGAAATGTATCGCATTGATGCGTTTAAGAGGTAGATTTCGTATGTTTTGAGTAACAGACTCCGAGTCATCCATCAGCCTTGTGTGTACGGAGCTATATAAGCACCAGTGCTGAGTAGATTAGAATGATGTTAGAAAACTGCGTGACTCTTTTTACTTCTTTTTTCTCTTTTTTAAGTTTTAATAAATGTATTCATTGAAATAGTTTAACAGACTATGTCGCCAATACATTGAGAGTAGTACGGGCTTAAAAATAAGTTTACTTTTCAAAGTTTTACACTAACTCGCATCGCATTTGATTACATCACTAGCCGATTAACTGACATTCTCCATTTGGTAGTGCTATGTTTGGTTTGCGGTTTCACTCACATAAATGTGGATTTAAATAATTTAAATAATATCACACATCTCATACACTGCAGTCTGAACAACCCAAACTGGACAGAGCCTGTGGTGTGGTAACCAGACTGCTTATAAACATACTTTTATAAATACATACATATCATAGATAAATTACACCCAGACACAGAAAAAAAGATCGTGTTCATCACACAATTATTTGTCCGGGGTGGGTATCGAACCCAGAGCAGTCAGAATCACTGACCACTAGACCAACAGACTAGTCAAAATAATCTAAAAATGTCCATTCTTCACTTAACACTATTATGTAACCCTTACACTCAAGTATGAGTAAAAAAAACACAACTTTTAAGCAAATAATTTCCACCTTCAAAACACTTTCAATATCTTCCGGAAGTTATTCTCCTCAAGTGCACTCTATGGTGACAACTCTATTGCATCATTGCATAATAATATGGGTACTGAATCACCATTTCTAAACCTATTCATGCTAGGGCTGTGCCAAATTTGTAATTTCATCGGCATTTTCATTTGACATCCGGCTTTTAAAGGACGAAGGACGAAGATTTATATTGGATGGTTGGATAAAAAACATTTCAGTATTTATATAACTTCAAATAATAATATTTTTTTGGTTTATTTGTTATTATGTCAGCCATTTAATGTTCTTTACTGTACATAAACCACTCCAGAAGTCATCCCCAAAAAGTAGGGACATGAAAGAGGTCTTCGCTTATTCTGTCGGCAAGTCCTACCTTTGGGATCGAATATCCCATTCTAGAATCTTTATTTTCCCAACCAATTGAACTTTTCTTCCCTATCAAAGTCACAGAATTAACAGTTTAAATTACAAACAGACTCAGTAACGAAAAATACTATTTTCTCTCTGATAAATATGCCATAGAAACATTACTCATTAAACAACAATCAACACAAGTGAAGTGTACGGATATTCCGGATAACACCGGATAATAGCAGCATCTCTGTCGTATCATTCTTCTGTCAATACTGACGTAACCTAAAGACAAGTGTCGCTGAGAGATTTATTCAACTTTTTAAAATAGATTCGGTTGAAGTAAGAGAGTTATATAAATTAACTTTGTTCTACCTACGCGTCGTTAGAAGAAATTTATATGGCGTCAATTAGTAGATCAAAGATTCCGTATGGTGCGCATGGGCAAACTATAAAAAAATGTTAACGATGTTTATATTGATGAGTTTAGGCTGTCGATTTCCACATGCTCTGATGCTCGTTATGTCTTAATCAGTCCAAATGAGAATTAAATCAAATGTGGTTAAGTTTTGGTCAATGTTTAATTTTAAAGACAACGTGTACGCACTAAATCAGTCGGATTCCATCTCTGCTTCTTCGTGTACTAAGCCCTTTTTTACCCTAATGTTTTAGGCAAGCATAATGGTTAACTAAAACCTGGTTAACCAATAAAAACTGATGAATTACGAGCCTGACTCTGGCCCCCAGGATTCTATGTATGTGGATAGTTCGTTTTTATTTTCCTTTATCAATTTTTTAGAGTTTTGTTTGTCCTGCGACATATTGGACGATAAATGACATAGTTTTGTAAAGCGTTAACTTAGAAGCTTAAATTTTTACAGCTTCAATTGACCGCAGACAGTTTTTGATGTTAATTTGAACTTGATACTTCAATGTGGTCCGGAATAAAAAGAGCTGTATTTCGGTCTGATAGACAGACATATACAAAGATAAACAGATGGACAGGCAACTGAGTGAGGTATCTTTTTTATATTGAGGAACGGGACCCCTAAAATGTATAGAGGTTTTAGGAATTCTATTTTAAAATAAGTGAGAAAACACATTGCCATGACCGAAAAGCATAAAGTCAAGAGAATAACCACAAACAATACGCTATTATTTTAACAGCTTCTTATAAAACCGTCTGGAATTTTGTGTCGAATGTGTGATATTTAATTTTGCCCCAGTATAAAAATATTTCGTACCAGGAAACAATATTCTAGCGAAAAAATGTTGGCATTTGACCCTGAATGCCTAAAATACAACTTTGATCATTTTTTTATTTGTGTCACTTAATAAATTATTATATAGACTGTATGTATATCTGCAAATATTTGTTTCGGAGTTTGGGTGTTTTCTATGTATAATATGTATGTATTTACAAAAAAAAAAGTACATAAATATTCTATCAGTCAATCTAGCTTTCGTAGTAAAAGCACTGCTTAGTTTGAAACTAGATGGCGTTGCGTGTCAGTTGTAAATCCGAAATATTATTATTATATATTTATAGTATAGAGGACAAATGAACAGACAACGGGTGACCTGATGGTAAGTGACTACCGTCGCCCATGGACACCTGTAACTCAAGAGTCACAAGTGCGTTGCCGTTCTTTGACACCCCCCTCAGTTTTAAATTTAAATTCTTGGGGTGGGGGGGGGGGGGGTCTGAACTCTGGTGGTCTTGCAAAAATATCAATTTAATTTATTATTTTTTTTTTTTTTATTTTTTTTTAATTTATTTAAAAATGCATACAGTGTAACTAAGGAGTTGTGACCCAGCTTTGGCCTGGCAACCCTTCTATAAAGCGATTACTATTACTGGTAGAACTGATGGGTTCTGATGATGAGTAGTAGTAGTACTGCAGTTTCATCATCTCTGTTGTACGACAAACAATTCTCTACCCCTGCCATGCAATCGTCTGTTTCTCTCTCTTTTCTAATTCTCAAACTTATTAATTCTCTCTCTTGTCTCCAGGAGCGTTTATTGGCGGGATCCTGGGAGGTATGGCGATGCGTCTTGGCCGCAGGAATGTGCTGATCGCAACTGCTCTACCTTACACCCTGGCATGGCTTGCCACAGCTCTGTCCACTGGAGTTCATATGATATCAGCTGCATCATTCTGCGGGGGCATGCTGATTTGCTGCATTAATATGACCACACAAGTGAGTATTAGTCTATCTTAAAAACTTGTTCATCATCATTCATTCACATCATCATTTTTTATTCATTAGTTCACGGGAAGAATACGGAGTGTCACCACCCCTATTCATCCCGTAGGTATCGTAAGAGGCGACTAAGAGAGCAAACTACGCAGGACAAAAGCACTGTAAAGAGAAGGAAAACTTGAAACAAAACCTATACCAACCCGTCTGGCCAGCGTGGTATAGTAGGCCAAAACCTCCTTTCTAAGGAGAGGCCTATGTCCAGCAGTGGACTATTAATAGCTGTTGATGATAATGATGATAAAGTAGACGGCTCGATGGTAAATAACTACCAAACTAGCTAGCTATTCTTCGGCATATTTGTGGCTACTCGACTGGATTAATACTACGACCTCACAAAAAACCGCTGTTAAGGAATGGTTTCATTGCGTTTCACCATGTGAGTGAGGTAACCAGAGCCCAACCTCCGACCTCCCCCTAATAATGAGGCGAGAGAGGGTAACGTACTTATGACTATTGAGTTGTAGATATCATTGGGCAGCGTTGGGCACTTATTAACAGGTGACCCGTTTTATTCTTTAACTAGCTGACCCGCGCAACTTCGTCTGCGTCGCTCAATAGTAATAAATTTTCTCCGTTTTTGAAACATTCTTCATTGGTGCTCCGCTCCTATTGGTCTTAGCGTGATGATATATAGCCTATAGCCTTCCTCGATAAATGGGCTATCTAACACTGAAAGATTTTTTTAAAGTACCAGTAGTTCCTGAGATTAGCGCGTTCAAACAAACAAACAAACAAACTCTTCAGCTTTATAATATTAGTATAGATTAAAAAAAATGCTCAAGTCCAATTTACTACGTCTTTCTTTTTCTGAACTCTATTTCTTTTTAATAAATTCTACTTACGATATTATATACTTAACCAGTTATTAAACCATATCCATACTTGGTTGACTGCATAGATGGCGATGATAAGATCAGTGTATTACCTTTTGATTGCACCGATGACGTAGTGGTCTAAGCGGTCATCTCATCGATTCCTACTGCGCTGAATGTTGTTGGTTCGATCCCCACATGGGACGACACTTTGTGTGATCCACAAATTGTTGTTCTGAGTCTGGGTGTTTTTGTGTCCGTTTTATGTGTGTTTATTAAGTAGTCACAGATGTTGTATTTTTAAAAAGAAGAAAAAAAGAAGGAAACAATTGCATCTTTCTATTTCTTAACTCTGTATCTTTCCAATAAATTCTACTTACGTTATTTTATACTACATCAATTTTTCCATCACTTCTATACTTGGTTGTATTCGATTTGATTCTTAATTTGAAACTCTCTAAACACCAATCTCCGTGGTCTTCGGTGCCGATAAATTAACGGTGTCCAACCTGGAAAAGTGCATTTGAAAATCGAACTACCTTATTAAAAGCCTTAAAAGCTTTTACGACTCAGTAAAAGTACCAATAAAACACTAATAGCTATAAAGGAAATGACATTTATGGACAATCTCGCTAACATTAACACTGAATAGACAATCAATCCAACTTAGAAAGTTCAAAGAACTATAATTCAATCCTCGGCATCAGAATTTTAACCGTTAAAGATCCCTCTTCTCTTGTTGAACATAGGTAAGAAGTGAGTCTTGCAATTAAGCTTTTGTTGATTCGAACTTCGCATAGCAATTTAATAAAATAATACTATTGTAGTACAGGCCTATACCTCCATCTTTGATAAAGTGCTCGGTCGATGGCAATAGACCGGGCTATTATTGTTAGGAGAGGGGGGGTTAGGAGAAATCGAGGCTGGCTATCGAGGTGGTTTTTCGTGTAAGTACTATATACTCCTGACTCCTGTGACCCTAAGGAGCCAGATATCCGAAGGGATATTCTACCCTGTCACCAGAAACAGGCTTGTCTCTTGTTACGTAAGTCAGTCGGCAAAATGTAGGCCTTTAATGCGTCTCTGCTTGCTCCGTCATGTTTGTGAGTTTCTTTTTCTAGATACTTTTTCCGGATCTGATAATTACAGATCTGCAAATACAATTGTTAAATTTAATGCTTAAGTCGAATTTTATTTATTTCACTACCTAAATGATAATCTAGCTTTAACTACTGAAATAAAGGTTTCAAAATACCTCACACAGTCGCGCGTTTTTACACAAACCAATTTTCCTTAAACATAAATCTTTTGCAAATGGTGTGCGCAGTACACATCACAAAAGACGGTTTACAAATCGTTACAAAACAAACAATACGTCGCGATTCTTGAACACTTTTAAGAAGTAAACTTTGAAAGACGTTCCTAACTCCATAAGTGTAAGTACGGAACATAGATTAAGGATTGGCTTTTGAAGAAGCAACATTCTTCTGTTAGGTTAATGCCTGTAACTGAGATAATAGAAATAATGCTTTATTTACACAAATATTTATTTATTTATACTTTATGCACAAATGTAACACAGGCGGACTTAATGCCGTAGGCATTTTCTACCAGTCGACCTTAGGGCGATGAAAAGTTAAAAAATCAAAGTTAAATATCACTCTGAAAGCTGCTTTATTTACACATCACTTCTTAGGTATAAAAATATTGTAAGGATAATGTTAGGCAGTCTGCTTACATTATTTACATTAGCTTTTGAATTTTTTGCAACTTAAATAAAACTACTTTAAATTTACAGTACATATGTATTTTAATGGCATTCTTTTACATTGCTTGAAAAGCGTTTTATGTTTTTCCACTGTCGGTTTTTACTTTCTAGAAAAGTAAACGTCTGCTATGATAATTGAATGTCTCTTTATTAATTACACACAACTCTGCTATATTGGTCATATGTAACGTTATTTGGTACATTTTAATATAGGTATGTTTAAAGTAAGGAAATAAAATCTTTGTGTATTAGAATTACTAAATATATTTAATATGTTTTCATAAACACGCTTGATAAATTGCTAAAAAAAACAATAAAAGAGAATAAAACCACAATTGAATACTATTCAGTATTCAATACATTTTATTTGTATAGTGATAAGGGCTGGCCTTGTGATGTATATATATATATTCACTCCTTGTTACTTGCCTTGTAGTAAAATAAAATTAAACTGACAATTTGTTATCAACAATAATACAAAATACGATTCATTAAGTTTACAAATCGTGTTATTCAACGTGTGATTCAAACCAAACATAACTCTTGTATATACTCTCACACAATAAAATAATCACTGTCTAAACAACACCAATAATACCACATCTTAACTGCATATTGGAATGTTTTCAACATAATCTTTGAAACGAGTATTTCTTAGAAAATTCATAAAAAGGGGTACGGCTCTGTTTATAGCTTAAACATGGACTTGTTAAGTGTAATTTATGTTAAATCATCTATTGTGAACATTTTTATGTTATACGCATGGACGTGTAATAATAAGCACATTATCTATGTTTTATAAATATATATTTATTATTTTTCTTTTTAAAAGACAACTCCCGCATTAGGAATATATCTTATGTCGCGGGGGACTTTACAAACATACATGAAACGGACACAAAGAACACCCAGACTCAGAACAACTATTAGTGGATCACACAAAGTGTCGTCCCATGTGGGGATCGGACCCACCCTCATCGTACCACTTAAACCACATCCGTGCAGTCAAGTCAGTCGATTCCCTATCGTTGCACAGTTCTATTGTTTTTATCAATATATTGATTAATTAAGGTACTTATTTATTCATTCGATATTAAAGATTTGCTAAATGGCAACGCGCAAATTATATTTTTACCCCTCGGGACCAATAATTAACCTAAAGGAAAAATACCCTACGTAAATTCCTGCCATAAATTCTGAATTATCTATTTAGTATAATATCGGTCTCTATAATATCGTCGTCTTTAACATCTATGAAGTGTAATCGGACTAATAGCGGCCAAAAGTTTGCGCCATCCAAAATCCAATTTCGGAAAAAAAAACATCCCCATCATTTGGATAATTGGTACTGTGCGCTTTTCAAAACACTTTTTGCCTCACACAACCAATATGTGGAATAAGTTATCGTCTGCGGTATTTCCGGCACTTCTCAAACCCGTCTTTTCAAACCTTCGAGAGAAGACCTTTTCCTCAAAGGCCGGCAACGGCTTGTGTAGTCACTTTTCATCAGGTGACCCGTCTGCTTGTTTGCCCCCTCTTCCTTAAAAAAAAAGTAGTTTAGGTGGGAAAGCATAACAGCCAAAGAAAGTCACACTACAAGCTATAATAATATTTTTTTAGCGCTAAACTAAATTTTTTTTAGTGCTACACTAAAAATATTCTATTACTTAACTTACTTAACTAAAATTACTCTATTTAACTGCACGAATGGCGTAGTGGTTTACGCGGTCATCTCGCCGCTTCTTACTGAGTGTTGTGGGTTCGATCCCCACGTGGGACAATACTTTGTGTGATCCACAAATTGGTGTTCTGAGTCTGGGTGTCCTTTGTGTCTGTTTCATGTACATACATATGTTTGTAAAGTCCCCCGCGACATAGGATTTATTTATCGTGCGGGAGTTGCATAAAAAAAGACTTTATAATAGCTAGAAGCTACTACTACTACGATTTTAATGTAGATGATGCCAATCATTTATCCAGCTAAATTACTACTACTGGATTTACTGTATTTCCAACTCCTCCAATTTTCTTTTGATTAATTTCGTTGCGGGTTCCAAGACAGTTTAATTTCTTCCTGGGACTTCCCGAGTGTCATAACTCGGTGTGTTCGTGGGTCACTGCTGTGGATCCTGGTGTACAGGAGTTACAGTGGTGGGCGTGTGGGTGGGATTAGTCCCTGTAACCCTCAGTTACTTTTTTTGGTTTTTTATTACTGAATATATATATATGGAATATATATATATATATATATATATATATATAGGTATATACATAATATAAGGGACATAATTTTAATTACAATGCTATTAGGCACTAGTAGGCACACAATAGCTGGTGACGTTTCTGTTATGTCTTCAAACTTTCATTTCTTTAACTCCCTCGGCGGTGCAGTGGTAGCGTATGCGACAGCCGTGATGAAGTCTCGGGTTCGATTACCGGGTCGGCCCAAATGTTTGTATGATCTTTATTTCGGATTTTTTGTGTTTTCTATGTATAATATGTACGCAATTACAAAAAAAAAGTATATAAGTATTCTAACAGTCAATCTAGCTTTCATAGTACTAGCTCTGCTTAGTTTGAAACTAGATGGCGTTGTGTGACAGATGTCCGAAATATTAATATTAAACATAATGTTATCTTTGTTAAGTCATAGATGGGTAGACCATTTTAGGTCAAATTAATAAAACGTACTGAAGACACCGTCAGTTAAACATTAAAGGAAATTAAATATTTCATTTCTATGCGTTGTCACGTAAATGTTTTGTGACACCTCACAATAAAATTACATGATAAATGATCGATATATCCTCACCAAGATTTAGCGAACAATAAACTTCTTAACTTATTTCTTGCCGTGTTATAAAACAATGGTCATTGTTTTTAGTGTTGCCACACCTTAAAAACTATTCTAAGTGTGTTTTATTTATGGGAACCATAAAAGAAACTTAGTGTCTTTGCATGAACTTCCACAATTTGCAGAGTAAATTGTTTCCCTTAGGGAAATTTGACTCTATTCCATTTTAAAAGGTGGTCCTCACCATCAAATCTTCCAGAAATCAGAATTCACGGTACATTTACAGGTTTGTTCGTCGTTTTCGGCTCCATAGATCGTCAGAAATGTAACTCCCTAGTGTAAACTTTTGATTATAATTTTCAATTTACTAAGGTTTCTAATAGCAACTTTTACTTGTTCACAGGTATACGTCACAGAAATAGCAGTCCCCGAAATCAGAGGTTGTCTCAGCTCAGTCTTGAAGATCCTGAGCCAAATAGGCATCCTCATTTCTTTCTCCATCGGCGCCTATCTTAACTGGTATCAACTTGCCCTGATGGTAGCAGCCGCTCCAGTACTACTATTCTTCGCTCTCTTTTTTATCCCCGAAACTCCCTCTTCTCTATTATTAAGAGGAAAAGAGCAGGAAGCAGAAGAATCTTTACAGTGGTTACGAGGACCTGAAGCGGATATTCGTCAAGAGCTAGCCACCATAAGAACAAATATTTTAGCCAGCAAGAGGTACAATGGCGGACATACAAGCAAATTTAAAGCCTTACTATCAAAGAGGATGACAAGGCCTGTTCTGATTACCTGTGGCTTAATGTTTTTCCAAAGATTTACTGGAGCAAACTTATTTAACTTTTATGCGGTGAAATTATTTAAGAAGACACTACGAACTATGAACCCTCACGGTGGAGCGATAGCTACAAGTGTTGCTCAGCTCCTAGCGTCTTGTCTGTCGGGAATGCTGATTGACAATGTTGGAAGACTTCCTTTACTAATGATTAGTGGAGTGATGATGTCTATAGCGTTAGCTGGGTTCGGTTCATACGCTTACTATGAAGACGTTTTCCGAAATACAACAGATATAATGCAATCAGAACCAGGATCATACGACTGGATACCCTTACTCTGTGTGCTGACATTTACTATTGCATTTTCTCTGGGTATCAGTCCTATATCTTCTTTGCTCATTGGAGAATTATTTCCTCTGGAGTATAGAAGTACAGGCAGCGCTTTAGCTACAAGCTTCAGCCATCTTTGTGGCTTTGTAAATGTTAAAACGGCGGCTGATTTCCAAGATCACATAGGCTTATATGGTCTTTTTTGGATGTACGCAGGAATATCTGTCTTGTGTCTTCTATTTGTAGTTCTTTTCGTCCCAGAAACGAAGGGACGAGAGATAGACGAGATGGATCCGAAATACGTTGAATCTTTATGTATTAATCGATAGTTTATCGCTTAATTTTTGTGTTGGTTTCATTTGAAGAGGACGTTGGTTAAGCGCATATTCTATGTAGAATTTGTCGCGTCAAGGACCCTGTTCTGCTAGTCACATGTCGTGCAATTGAATTGTATCGGTGTTACAGGTCTTTGCGATAGGTCGTCGGTGTGCGCTTAACTTGAGCGCTCAAGTCTTCTACCAGTATTAATCTTTGTTTTCTCCTTGTATAAATGTTCCTGTTTTTTCATCACAAGACTTTATAAATGTGTCTTTTGATACATTTTTATGAGTAGGTGCTATATTCTGGTAACGGAAGCGAGTATTGAGAGATGTCCAGCTTAGTGTTGTAGTATTGGGCATAATAGTATTAGGTATAATATTAGAAGTAATATTTTCGAATATTGGATTAGTTTATTCGACTGTGAAGAAAACTAGTTACAAGTGTGTTTCTCTACTAACTGTCGTGATAAAATCGTAAAGTTTTCTGTGCCTTATCGAATAGTGTTTCAAACACAATCTATAAAAAAAATGTGCTTCCATAAAATTTTGTACTTTATAACAAAACAATAATGAGGTCTGAATACTCGTTGTAGCTTCTTTAACAATATTAGTGATATGAAAATGTAAATAATAGTTTAGCCTAATATTTGTTTAAATAGATCTGTGGTTACAACAATAAATATCCTGAAATATATTTGTTTAATAGAAGAAGTGATAGTGAATTTGAAAATAACTTATATTGGCCTTTAGTTTAATTGAAAAAATCGCTATTAATAAGTGTTATAGGCAATTGTCCCACCGCAAGCGATACTAGTAACTGGATTATACGTTATTCGATTAGTTTATAATTTAATACCATTCTTAACACGACTTTTTTGTATTGACAGCTGTCAGAGTTTTTTTAGAGTCATTTAAGTAATTTTAGGCATCAAACGAGTGAGTAACAATCGCTGTTAAACCTGCAGTGGGACAATTGCCTGACGCAAATTGTAAAGTTTTTTGTTTATTTTCTTTATCGGCCGAGTTTTTTAACTTATAGTTTATTATATGGAATGTAGTTCAATTGTTAGTTTCAAGAGTGCGATATGATTGGTTGGTTTTAGATTTGTTCAGACATATTGTTGTTTTTTAATTTATTGTTTTCGTGTGTTTTTGATCAATGTATATTTAAACGATCAGAAATAACTTTATATACTTTTCATATGACCGGGAAGGGTCAGGAGTGACCCGCAAAGGTCACAAGTGACCAAAAAATGGATTTATGATTAATGAAGCATTACTATTTTTTTTTATTAAATGTAATTTTTATATATTTGATTAAAATTAAATATGAAACCAACCAATAATACCACACATTTTAATGTACGGGTATTTTATGTACAGTCGCGAGTATAAATGCTCACAAATGTATATAAACATATACAAATAAATTGTATTGTACATATACAAGTAAATTGTTCAATGTAAGTAAAACCTTTGATGTTTTGTACACATTTTGTGTATAAATATATTCAGTTTAAACATTACAAATTAATTTTAACGTATAACATGGTTGAAATTTTTTCGGCAAAATATTTTTATTTTAGAGTTTGTTAAAATTTAATGTTTCTACATTGTGTGTAGACGTTATATCCCAGTGACTTATTTAAAAAATATGCTGTTTAAAGATTTTTAAATAACTTTGGAAAAATAATGAATTTTGGTGCTAAACCATGGTGCCTTGCATTTTTGATATTATTTCGAATATATTAATAGATGTTTATTATATAATGAGTGTATATAAAAACAGTATTATTAAGTTTTGTAAATAAATGTTTTATAGATATTTATGTATTAAGGAATTGTGTTCTATAGCACGTTGCCATAAAAAGAAGCTATTTCAAACAAATTATTTGTACTTAAACATGGTTCGAATTTAAGTGTTTCAATAAAAAATTGTGACCTTATAGCTAATTTTAATTTCACCACTATTAAGAAAGCAAAAAATCTACCCAACACAAAAGGACTTACGGTACTTGTAGGTGAAAGTAACTAATCCCTTTTTGATAGCTCAGTGACTTCCTTTCCTTTCCTTCAGTGAATCCCAGTAAAACATCCATTACACGAATAAATCTCATTCTCTTTCTCTCTTTCTGCCATAATAAGTTCACTATTGAAGAATACTTGTTTTGTTTATTAATTGAGAAAATGAGAAACGCACGTCATAGTCACCTTGCTGCTTCCTACTGTGTTGTGGGTTCGACACCCACATAGGACAACACTTTGTATGATCCACAAATAGTTGTTCTGAGTCTGGGAGTTCATTTTGTCCGTTTTTGTGGTTTCCGTTTGAATATTTGAGCTGAGTATATCCATATATACTCTTAGTGCGAGAGTTATCTTTTTAAAGGAAAAAGTAAAGGACAATCAATGAATGTAAGTTTAAAACAAATAATAAAATAAAAAAATCGCTTTAAAATAAACTGCATTACTCTTGCCTGACTGTACTTTCTGATGATTTAGAATTTAAATCTCGTATCCATTTTACATAGAACTTATTATTAACAGGAATTTGTTGATTTGGTATGCTACAAACAAAATTTTCGAATACCTCTGTACCAAACTGTACTGAAAATGCGTCTCACATTTGACCAACAAAATGGAATCATCAGTCTTTACAACCGGAAGCGCCAACATAATGGTGACACCATTGTGTTCCATAATTCAATCATTACGGTGTCATGGTGCCATGCACACGAATCCTATGGCAACGAAGTAAATTGGGTGTGACTGTACCTGAGTCTATGAGGCGAAAGGGAAAATAATGACATCAGAGAAAGAATAACATACAATAAATATTTTGGAATCGTCAGGTGTGTCTGTGTATTATTATGATATTAACTAAAAAAAATTCAAGTTTGTTTGTGTTGTTGTTAGTTGCCGAGATTATCCTTCTAACAAACAAATAGAATGCTTCAGTTTTATATTATTGGTACCGTACTCGACCCACCAGGTGAGATCTGCACCTATGTCGGGGCACCAGGGACTTCCTTTCTAGGGTATACCTGGTTCCCCGGCTATTAGTACCCGAGACGGCGTGCGGTTTTAGTCGGTTCGAGTCCGACATGCCACCGATAGGTGAGAGAGAGTTGTAGAGTAAGAGTTGTATACGCCTCTTCCACATGTGTGTTTGAACGTGTCTACGACCGCTCTGCCAAGAGCGACATGACAGATAAGAAGATATATATATAGAAATTATCTTCTATGTCTGTAAAAGAAGAAACTGACAGAATGATTCACTGACTGATCCATCAACGCACAGCCAAAACGGCTGGATCTAGAACCATGAAATTTTGAATAAATATTCCTTAGGGCAGCTACTAAGAAAAGATTTTGTAACAAATCCATTACATGAAACTTCGGTTTTTTCTAATTTCTAATTTAAAAGAACGTTGTTTCTAATTTTTCAAAACTACAAATTGGTGCCAGTTGGTATGGGGAAAGTTTTTTCTTTTTAAGTTCATAGCCTTTAATAGTCCACTGCTGGACGTGGGCCTCTCCTTAGAAAGGAGGTTTTGGCCTAATGTACCACGCTAGCCGGGCTTGTTGGTATAGGGTTTTGTAGTTTTACTTCTCTTTACAGTGCTGTTGTCCTGCGAGCGCGTTGCGAAGCGCGCTCGCTTCCAGGGAGCAGAGGGAACATGGCGTTCCCACACGGGGGGGGTCGTCTACTTGTTGTAGATGGCCCGAGGTATGTCGGGGCACCAGGGACTTCCTTTCTAGGGTATACCTGGTTCCCCAGCTATTAGTACCCGAGACGGCGTGCGGTTTTAGTCGGTTCGAGTCCGACATGCCACCGCACGGAAAAAAAAGTGCTGTTGTCCTGCGTAGTTTGCTCCCTTAGTCGGCTCTTACGACACCTACGGGATAAATAGGGGTGGTGACACTCTGTATTCTAAAACCGTCACCATACGGAACTTTTTAACTTATCGATTCCAAACCTTCAGTATAATTATATTCTCTAATAATAATAATAATAATTAGACACCTATTATTTTCACTTTTTAATACGTAAGCATGCTTGTTACTCAATCACGACAAAACGGCTTGCCGGATCTGGATGAAATTTAGCAAATAGATTATATTATAGTCTAGAATAGCAGGTTAATACTTATCCAGGCCAAATTTATTGACAAAATTGACATTTACGCAAGAGCGAAGCCATAGGCAAAACCTAGTATTTCATAGTCTTACCTATTGAAAATAATCAATCTATATTTACTTCTTCTAATCTGTCTTTAAAAAAACTCCTGAAAAGAAATTAATAGCAATATGGTTTCCTAGTAATTTGTTGCTCTTTTGAGACAGTTGCCTCGCTGTAATTTGTGTCTAGTCAAGCCAATATTTTATATGAGTTTCATCATGGTCAGTTTTACTTTTATTTTATGGCATTATAGCTTTTGCCCGCGGCTTCGCTTGCGTGTATGTTGCCTGTGTCCTTTCTCAAGAATCAAAGTATCTTCATACAAAATTTTATTTAAATCAGTTCAGCAGCGCTTGTTTACCCCATAAAAACTTTCACCTCTTTAAAGGATGCTTTCTTTAATAAAAACCATCCAATGTCCTTTTCCGAGACTCAAACTATCTCTATATATAATGTTCATCTAAATCGGTTCAGCGGTTAATGCGTGAAGAGGTAACAGACAGACACTTTCGCATTTATAAAATTAGTATGGATAGCCGTATAGCCGTTGCACCCCCTCACCCCAAACCTACCATAAAACAAAACAGTGGCACCCCGGGAGTGCCGGCAAAGGTGAAAACTTTTATGCAGAGGTGTCGGTAACGGTAACAAAAAACAGTGTCGCAGGTTCAATTGCTTTTTCCCATTTCAAAAAATTCAAAACGCGCCTAAAGTAGTATTCACTTTAAAAGAAGTGTCGGTAACGGTAACAGTGTTTAATGGTTTTTCCCCTTAAAATACATTATTTTTTTTGTTGTTTTAAAATGCCCACCGCGCCTAAAGAAGT